TGGCTCTCAGCACCCCCACTATACAAATTGTTTCAGCATCCCTGTCTGGGGGCAATATTTGGAGACAACCTAAGGGGGCAGCTCTCCCCCCCCCCCCCCGTCTCTCTCTCTCTCTCACACACACACACACACACACATACATGGAATCCCATTGCTCATCCTTTTATTGTTTGTTTTCTTCTGAAATTAGGCACATAGACTGATTGTACATGATTTTCTTATTGTGTAGAGAAAACATAACAACAGGGGGCTTGCTTTTACAGATATTGATTGAACAATCACATTGGCTGGGAGCACTGCAGACACAGAGAAAGCAAAACCACAGAACTGTGTTGTGTGGATGCAAGAGGAAAATTTTGTCCATCAGTTGGAAATAAGGAGAAATAAAGATCTGTTATTAGAATTAGAAGAATTATGAGCAGTCCTGAGGCTGAACTAAGCATAATTTGTTAGTGTTTCAACATGAATAATAATCACTGAAATTATTATGAACAGTACAAAACGTACATTAAGGGATCCTAAACTGTGGGCGGTGGTCTGCCGGCCCAATTGCACACTCCAGTCAAGCTCTTACGTTGGTACATCTTTAACTCCATGGGATTTGTGTAATCTAAATAAAAGTGATATAGATGTAAAGATTGGCTAGACAGAGTACAGAAAAATTTATTTTAAAAATCCAAGCTGCAGTATGTCAAGTTTAATTTTCACAAATTCAACACTGTGTTTTACTTTATGGTAACCAAGCAATGTATACACAGTCTACCATTTACAACTGTAAAAAATGGCAAGCAGTATTTTAATCTGAGATGGAGTGATATATTTTTTAAAAACAAGGAAGCTGTACTGGTGGAGAAGATAATGAAAGTCCTGGATCATTTACAGCTACCAGAAAATAGCCAGCCAAACAAATAAAGTGGTGAGAAAATATGATGACACATAATTGAAGTTTGGATTCTACTTTACCAGACTGGATGAGTACCTATTGCCTCAGTGTGTTATAATGCAACTGTTATTTTATGTTGGGTTGAGTCTTTACATACACAACTCAGAAATTTAGATTTTACATAACACAATTGACAATACAATATAGTGTTCAAAGTTGAACAACTACTTTGTTTTAAAATCAACAATTAATCGCACATGTTTGTCACAATTTTGCTAACATTATGTTACGTTATTGTTTGGTTTTATACAGAATTGTGTTTTCCTTGTTTGAACACCACATTTTGCTCTCAACTTTTTTTTAAAGTTCAGTTTTACTAAATTTGTTTGGTTTTAAAGGTCTTGAAGCTTTTCTTTCAGTGCACATTGCTAGGGACTTCTATCGTCACAATTGCTTGTGTTAAAATGGAAAGGGAATGTGCTGTGTTTATTCACAGTGTTGTAGTTTTTATATATATATATGTAATTAAAATGAACAATTTTCCTCAAAAAATATTACTAATTGGCTGCAGTGCCTATTGCAGCTGCACAGCTAGGCTTCAGGGAAAAAAGTTTGGGAATGCCTGATGGGCATAACTTTCTTTAGCTGTACAGTTTGCAGGATCAAATTCTCAGCTGGTGCAATGGCTCCACAGCAGTCAATGAAACCATGCTCAAAAAAATGGATGATGGATGATCATAGATTAGCTGTGGTAAGCGTGCTGAAAATAGCCTTTTCTTCTTGAAAACAATGATTGTTAGTGTCAGGCGTAAAGGTGTGCCCCATTTAAAGAGCACCAGTTAGAACTACAGATGTGCAAAGGGCAGCGTGTGTCAGAGCAGATGGGAAAACCAATGGGAATGAGTGATGAGATGCTGTCTCTGAAGACTGCCTTTCCCCCACATAAATGGAGGAAATAGGAACTATGTGATGGCTTCCCTTGCATGACTTCAGTGTCTCCTGCCCACTCTGCCCTGGTCTACACTAGGGAGTTATTTTGAAATAACCCCCCTTATTTTGAAATAATACGTGGAGTGTCCACACTACCAACCCTGTTATTTTGAAATAAGGGGCTGGTTATTTTGAAATCTGTACTCCTGCTTTCTATGGGGAATAAGCTTATTTTGAAATAGTTATTTTGGGAGCTATTATTTCAAAATCATTTCCTACTGTAGACATGCCCTTTCAGTGGCCTATTTCAAAGCCCATTAAAGACAATGGAAAAGGGGGCTGTTAACTGCCAGGAGCTTTGGACCAGACTTTAGGAACTCGGTTGAGAAGACTGATGATGATGATAGAATGTCAGGAGGCAAAGCTTCGGGCCTGAATCTCCGTTTCCCTTAATCCCCATGGGCTTTAGTGGGAGGTGCTCATATCTTGTGGGAGGAGAACTGGGCACGAGGTGTGCTCACAGTCACCACGGTTGCATCTTGATGGAGTTTGATTGGGCATCAGGTGGAGACCCTATTGTGTTGGAGCAAAAAAGATAAATAGCACCTCCTGTGAGGGGCTTCCAGTGGGACAGCTTCAGCTACAACCCAGCTTAGTCCACTGTACAGGGGAGAAACTCAGACACCGAGAGGTTAAGTGACTTGACTGGAGAGCCAGGATAGAGAACCCGATCTACCTCACTTCAGGTCACATGCTTTAGTCCATGTTACCTCCTGTCCTTTCAGCACAGACATTCTTAATAATTCAGCTACTGCAGAAATGGCCTGGCAAATGAAAGGAAGGGAAACTGTTTTGCTCTTTCTTTGAAACATGTCCGAGAGTTTTCTCAGTACAATAGTTCTGCTTTAAGCCACAAACGGGCTCCAAACATTGATCCCTGGCCTCAGCGCCACATATTTTCCATATTAGAATAGCCCGGCAATGTAGGAAAAATGACCAAGGGATTTTTTGCCCCCACACTGCATGTGGAATCTCAGAATGATCACGTGGCATCTGACTCTGTTGTGACATAATGATTAAAGTTGTCACATTCCGAACCTGGACTCTGACCTTGCAAAGAATGGTATCCATATGATGCCAAGGCAGGGCCGGCTCTAGGTTTTTTGCCTTCTCCTCCCCTGCTTTTTTCACAGAGGCATGAGTGGAGTGGGACTGGGGCTGGGAGGAAGCAGCACTCTACACTCACTCTTGTTCTCAGGTTCCAGTGTGCAGAAGAAACTGGCTGCAGGGGCTGCCCTCATTTCCCAGCGCTGCCCCCTCCCCTCGCCTGTGTTCGCCCCCAGGGAGGCATGCTCCCCATGTGGCCCTAGTGGTGGGGTGGGAGTAGGTGGAGGGAGCCATGGCAGGGAGCTGAGGCACTGATGGAGCCTGGCCCAGGGTGCTGTTCCACCGCACATTCCGGCCCGAGGAGGAGCAGGCAGGGAGCCCCACAGGTACCATCTCCAGCTGAGAGCCCCGCACCCAGCTGCTCAGAGCCTGTGACTGGCCCCAGGGTGCTGGGAGCTCTGCGCCGGCAGACCCAAGGTGCGGCCTGGCTGGGAGGTTCGTGGCTGCGGGCGCTGGCAGCTGCTCCCGGGGGCCACCTCGGGCTCAGCCAGACACACATGCCCCAGGGATCTGCCCCTGAGGGGTGGCGAAAGCGGCACCTGCCCCCGCTGCCGGGTCCCCGGAGCACAGGGCCGGGGTGGCTGCAACTGGAGGGGTGAGGGTGGCGCTCTGGATGCCCTAGGGCACAGCAGCCGGCCCAGCCCTGCAGAGCTTCCAGCCCTCCTGGGAGGAGCCACCACTCGCCCAGAGCCTGAGACCCTGGCCCCGGCACAGTCCGCTCCCCCCCGGCCAGCCGAGGAGCCTCTCCTCCCCTCCCCGGCGGAGGGAGAAGGGGCGGGAGAGAGGGAGGGAAGGGGAGCCAGGCAGCTGGGCTCCAGCAGAGGGGGGCTTCCTCCAGGGCCCAGCACAGCCTGGCGCCGGGGTCTCTGCAGCTGGAGGAGGGATTCTCTTGTCCCAGGTGCTTGAGGGATGGGGCCCCGCTGCGGTGGGGCCCCAGTGCCCACCAAACCCCTGAACTCCGCGCCAGGGAGCCGGGAGCCAGCTGCCAGGGCTCAGCATCACCAGCAGCAGCCACGGCCGCCCCGCCCTGCCTTCCAGGAAGTGCCCCAGCAGGGGCCACGCCTCGGGGCCACCCGCGCAGAGCTCCCAGCGCCCCGGGGCCAGGCGCAGGCTCCAAGCAGCTGGGTGCGGGGCTCCCAGCTCAGGGCGGCCTCCACGGGGCTCCCTGCCTGCTCCTCCTCAGGCCGAACGCCACCCCTCGCAATGTGCCGCCCCAAGCATGTGCTTCCTTTGCTGGTGCCTAGAGCCCGCCCTGTGCCAAGGGAGTATCAAGGTCCATTTGTGCCGCTCACCTTTCAGGACCTGGGGTTTGATACGCACCTTTCTTTCGGGGGTACCTTAGTGACTACATTACCATGCTGCAGATAGGAAAATACTAATGCGGCCATTCCCAACCATTCCTAAGATCTGCCCCACGCCTGTCTGAAAGCAGGTGAGGTCTAAATAAGACTTTTTTTTCCCCCTGAGGATCAGCATATTATTTTGCTTCTTTCTTTAAAAAAAAAAGTAGGACAAAGTCACTGGTGCACTCTGTCTTCCAGACCCACGGACATGACAGTGCAGCTTTGGAGGAACCAGCCAATCAGGGGCCAGGAAGGGCTACAAAGGGAGCTGCAAAGCAGTGCTGCAGTTAGTGCATGGCAGAGCTCAAGCAGTGCAGACTGTGAGGCTGGCGAAGGAAGCAGTCCCCAGGAGGAGAAGCCCTGGCGGCACCACTCTTGCCACGTGGGGAAATAGAGTGAGAGACACTAGACAAGAAGGCACCAAGATGGGGCCCTGTTACTGGTGTACCCTGGAGAGGTTTGTGTTTCATAGTTTCATAGTTTTCAAGGTCAGAAGGGACCATTATGATCATCTAGTCTGACCCCCTGCACAGTGCAGGCCACAGAATCTCACCCACCCCTCTTAGAATAATCCTCTCACCTATATCTCAGATATTGGAGCCTTCAAATACTTTGATGGCCCCAAGATGCAGAGAATCCTCCAGCTGTGATCTGTGCCCCATGCTACAGAGGAAGGGGAAAAACCTTGTGTTGATTGGCTCACACAAGGTGTGACTCTGCTGTGTTGCTGAAAGGGCTTTGGACTTGGACTTAAGGCCAGAAGGAGGTGCTCGTGGCAGGTGAGTGCTGCCCCATTACATCGCTATTACCACATTGCCCCTCGAGAGAATTAAATTGCAAGCCAGAATCTTGATATCTTTGAGGCTGAGTTTTGGGGGAGGGGAATGTTTAAACACTGGGGAGCCAGAAGGGTCAGCACTGTGCCCAGAAGAGCTAGGGTTGAACACTTAGGCCAGGGGTGGGCAAAAGGGCCTGATCTGGCCTGCCAAATGGGTTGATCCATCCCACAGAGGCCCTGCCGCTCCCCTGCACCCAGGCCAATTAGGACCTGCGGGTGGGGGAGTATGCAAAGCTTCCTCCCACCTTGTAGGCAGCATGCAGTGCTTTGAAGCACCACATGCTGCTTGCAGGGCTGGAGGAGATGTCTCACGCTCCCTGCCCCCAAGCCCTAATTGATCTGGGGGCAGGAGGTGCATGCAAAGTTTCCTCCGCCCTTCCCTCCACTCTGCGAGGAGCACATGGCACTTCAAAGTGCCATACAATTGCACAGGGTGGGAGCAGAGCAAGTGAAGCTTTGCACAGCTCCTCCGTCCCCAGGCCAATCAGGATTTGGGGGTGAGAGAGCATGTGATATCTCCTCCCATCCTACGAGCAGCGTGTGGCACTTTGAAGTGCTGCATGCTCCTCACAGGGTGGGGGTAGGTCAGGAGGAGGCTTCACGTGCTCCACCCACCTCACGGCCAATGAGAGCCTGGGGGCGGTGAGTGTGTGAAGCCTCTTCCTACCCTGCCAGGGACATAGGTGCCTGGTGGGAAGGGGGAGATAAAAGGGCTCCCTGACCCCCAGACCAATTATGGTCTAGTGGTGGGCAAGCCCAGAAGCATTCTGGCCCCACCCCTTCCAGATTAGGCCCCTCCCCTTCTGGCCTGGCACCACTTTAAACATTTTTGAAGTGGCCCCCGGCCAAAAATTATTGGCCACCCCTGACTTAGAGGGTGGTGTGAGAAGGTCTGTATCTTGATAATGTTCCTAGAGACTCTGAGATTGGGGTAGTGGCCAGCCTCCATTCAGGCTCCAGGACCACAGCACACCGCAGGGTGTATTCCCTTCCCAGCCAGTACTCATGGGTGGCCAAGAAACTCTGTAACACTTACACATTGCCTATCCCTGTGGTATCTAAGCCCCAAGTGCATTTTTCAGCAGAGCAAGGAGCCAGGGTGCAGAAAGGAATGCCTAACAGGTGTCAGTGAGGAGTCAGGCTGATCCTAGAAATGGTTAGGACTAATTAGCTTAATGACAGTGCTAAGCATAATTGTGGCATTTAAAATGTAAATGTAGATTTAAATTACTCCCAGCTGTGAAGAAGAGAGTGAAAGGCTTCTCTGTTTCCTTCTCATGGGTAGATGGTTCTGTGTCAGTTTAAGGGGCAACCATGGGGTTGGATTCTCCATTGCCTAGCACCCTGTTTAGTCATTTACTTCAGTGCAAAGAGGGTGTAAAATTACCAGGCTACTTAGCATGGGCCAATAGTGCACAGGGTGCCAAGCCATGGGAGAATCAGGCCCAGCTCTTGCAGTGGCACCTGCTAAAATCAAACTGCAGGGCTGTGTCTAGACGGGCAAGCTTTTCCAGCTGCTTGAAAAACTTGCCAGCTGTCTACACTGTCCACTTGAATTTCCGCAAGAACACTGACGATCTCATGTAAGAAATCAGTGCTTCTTGTGGAAATACTATGCTGCTCCTGTTTGGGCAAAAGTCCTTTTGCGCAAAAGCTTTTGCGCAAGAGGGCCAGTGTAGAGGACCCGGCGATCGGGGCTTTCTTGCACAAAACCGTGTCTAGCTTGGCACGGACGCTTTTCCACAAAAAGTGCTTTTGCAGAAAAGCGTCCGTGCCAATCTAGACGCTCTTTTCTGCAAATGCTTTTAACGGAAAACTTTTCCGTTAAAAGCATTTGCGGAAAATCATGCCACTCTAGACGTAGCCCAGGAGAATTAGGCTGATACCTTTTGTTTCAGTTGAGGTCCAAAAGAAACTTCCCCCTCCTCCCTCAATATTAATATGGCAAAATAAAGTACATTCTGGGAGGCTTACACTTTCCTCTCAAGCATCCAGCAACAGCTCTCTGGGAGACAAAACACCGGATGAGCGCGACCATTGGTTTCCTCCAGCATGGCGTTGTCTTTGTTCTTACTGAGATTTTTCAGTAAGTGAGCCAGAGGGTAGGGGGCTGTTACAGCAGTGGGTGGATGAGGTTTTGAGGCCTGCAAATACATGTGGGTCTAGGATGCAATTTGTCCTTTGAGAAAAATAGTTGCTGGAATGTTGGTGGTGTTATTGAAATGGAAATTGTCTGTTTTCACACACTTTTTTTTTCAGGTTTTCATTGAAAAAAATGAGAACTTAATTTTTTGTGGTGTTCATTTGTTGGAAACTGACAAACTTTTACCTTTCCCCCTTCATTTTTGTCAAATATAGAACATTC